AACAGGTAGGATTTCTAGTCTCTAAATGCCTCTTCACATGCCCGCATCCATGTCCCTCCCCATTTTTGCATCAAGGCCTAGAAAAATGGTCCGCATTTGTCAGATGACCTAGATATAAACCTGTTCAAGGCAACAATCATTCCAGTTAGACTCTACATCTCTTTGAGGGTCTTTGATTTGGTGGTTGTAGTTCAATCAGAGCCTTAACCTAGTCAAGATTGGCCTCTATTCCTCTCTTGGTTACTCGGAATCCTAGGAACCTGCCTGAGCCAACCTTGAAAGCACACTTTGAGGCATTGAGCCTCATGATATATTTTTGCGAGACATTGAATGTCTTTTGCAAATAAGCTAGGTGATTTGGGGTTTTACAACTTTTGACTAGTGTGTCATTTATGTATACCCCCATTGTATCTAAATAATAACATTCAAGTAACCAACCTTTGATAGGTTATTCCATCATTTTTGAGCCCAAAGGGCATCACTTTGTAAGAGTATACCCCCCTTGGCATTAAAAAGGAAGTCTTCTTTGAGTCAGCTTCAAAGAGGGGGATCTGATGACAGCCTCTATAAGCATCCAGAATACTCATCCTTTCATGCCCTGATGTTGCGTCAACCATCTGGTAAATTTTGACGAGGAAGCTATCCTTTGGACAAGCTTTGTTGAGATTAGTGAAGACCACCCAAACTCTTCACGTTTCATTCTTCTTCTTTACCACAACTATGCTGGAGAGACAGGTTGGATAAAGTACCTCCTCGATTGACTGAGCTTCTAGCAGCTTGCCAACCTCCTCAGTGATGGCTTCCATGTGTTGGGATGTCAACCTTATTTGATTTTGCTTTTTTGGTTTGCATTTTAAGTCCATGTTTAGGGATGAGAGATCACTTTTGGGTCAATACTTGCTATCTCATAGGGGGGTTCAACGAATGCAACCACATTGCTTCTTATCAAAAAGAATTTGTCGGTATCACCTTCATTCACATATAGGATCTGGAGGTCTTCTACTGCACGCTCGGTCAGGCCTATCAAGGGCTCTTTTAAGCCCGACAGTTCAAACTTTGGTTGCTATTTTAGGGTTGGGTCAGATGTCAGCTTGACACCTGGCCCTTGCTATTTAATTATTTTCTCTCAAACTAATGCAAACATGTAGCTCTATGCACTAACTTTGTCCCCCCAGATATCTATGATTCCCCTACCAAATGGGAACCTCACGATATGGTGATAGGTGGAAGGGACAGTCTTCATTTCATGCAGCCAAGTACAACCCATAATGGCGTTATGGGTTGAATTTGCATCTACGACTAGGAACTCGGTCATCGTAGCAACGGGTCTTGCTCGCATTGGTAAGGTGATTTTTCCCTTTGGCATCACAATCTTGCCACTAAACCCTACTAATGGAGCATATATCGGATTAAGCTCCTCCTCTTTCAAATAAAGCTTTTGGAACAGCCCTATATACTTTATTTCTGAGGAGCTTCTCTGGTCGATCAGGATCCTTCTCACGTCGAAGTTTGCTATCCTCAAGGTTAATACTAGTGCATCATTGTGAGGGTGATGAATCCCTGTGAGGATCGTTAGAAAACAGATCAATCTATCAAACCGATCAGTTTTGGGCTTCTTGCTAATCTACTCAGTCGAGGGTTCAACCGGGTATTTCTCTAATTTGTGCAACCTTCTAAATGTAAGCTCTAGCAGCCTTATTAGTTGCCATGTTCGGATCTGTGGCTGCATGAATCACATTAATCACTGTAGTGCAATCCTACGCTTGACCCCGTGCTTCCTTCTTTCTGGTGGCCTTCGTTTTAATTTTTTTAAATTGAGAAAGATGGTTCCCTGAACAGGTCCTTTGGATGCTGCTTCAGAGAACAATAGTTCTTCATCATATGCCCAGTATCACAATGGTAAGAGCATCTAAGGTTGGGTTCCTCTCCTTCAGTTCCCCACCTAATTTGTTAGACCACTTGAAGTAGGGTATCCCCTTAGTTTGAAACAAGATTTTGTAAATTGGTTCTTTTTTCTTCAGAGAATGATGAACAGGGCTTCTATTTTCCCTTAGTGGCTGAGTGTGATTGGTCTTGCCTATCTCTCCCATATGGTTTCCTACTCCACTGGTCCCCGATGGACCTCCCTCTTGAGCTCATCGTCTATTTTTGCATACTTTTCGACCCCTGTCCATCAATTCCTCTATGTTGATGGCTAGGCACCTGGTTAAGGACTGGTACACTGGTTATCTTTAGATAACCCAATCTTAAAATATGTGACCACAATTTTTAGGTTGCAACTCTCTATCTCATTCATCATTTCCTATTAACAATGAGCATATTCGTGAAGTGCATCACCATGTTTATTCTTCAAGGAGAGTAACACCCTGATATCTTTTGGATGCTTGCTGCTGGTATGAACTGAGTTGTGAACTGGTCAACCAATTGTACTAATTGTCAATTTTAGTTTCTCAAGAGGTTAGCATACCACTTCATGGTAAATTCCCACAAACTGCTAGGTATTGTGCACATTAGTGCCTTATTCTTCCTGTGGATCACCATAAGCTGTTTGTAGTGGCGTATATGGCTGGTTGGATCCATTCTGCCTTCATAGAGTTTAAAGCTTGGTATTGCAAACTTGCTAGGGATCCTATCCTTCTCTCTACATCTCATGAATGAGGACACCTCTATTCCCCAAGATTACTCTTTCTTAGCTTTCTTGGCTAGCTCCCTAGCTGATTTCTGCTCGGGGGTGCTTTAACCGACTATCAAGTTCCTTGGTTTTAAAGTGCCCCCAGCTATCTTTCTGGTCCTCAAACGAGAAAATTTCATTTTCCCATGCCTATAATGCATATTTTCCCTCTGCCTTCCCTTACACTTGTCAAGCCTATGACTAGGGGAATTCTCCTTTAATCTTAGTCTTCGAGTGGTCAAACTCATCAAGGACCTCATGGTCCTATTATTTATTCAAGGCCTCTCTTAGTGCTTTGTTCTCCTATTTGAGCTTTTCCTCCTCTTCTTGGGACCTCTTGAGAATGTCATCACGACATCCAGTCGGTCCTAGAAGGATTAGACCAATTTCATGAAGGCTAAAATCTCTCCCTTATTCTTGGGGGCATCATCTCGACAACCATCATCCCGAGGATTATATTGCCCATAGGTATGTTGTCTGGTTTTTCTTCATACGAATTGTTTGCAACAATGACTATTATTTTGTCATTTGAGGATAGGGACACGTGGTTATTACTTACATGGTCATATTTGTTGAATTCCTGGTTGTTCCATGGTGATCCTAATGGGCTCCATAGATTTGAAATGACTGATTTTATTCGCCTTCCCACAGATAGTGACACTTATAACAGGGAAAAATATCGTACCTCAAATTAAGCGTGTCGTGGAAACTGAGTGTATGATTTGAGGGAAACGAATAGAAGTGCACCTCTTTTCTGCAAAACAAATAAATTGCCAAGGACTGGAGGTTGATCAACCGGAAGCCCTTTGATACTTAAGTTAGTAAGGGTTCTAAGGATACAAAAGCAAGATTGCAGAGAAAGAGTGTTTACCTTAGACTTTAGCTTTACCCAGTATTTATAGTAGTTTGTATCATCTTCTAGGGTTTCAATCATTGGTTGTAGGAGGTGGCACACCTATCTTGCAGTCAAATCTTCCTTACTTTGTGCGGGAATCTTTTCAAACTTCTTTTCTTGCTTACCAATTCTTTAGGTCACATGATTCTAATGTGTACCTATGGTTTAAGTGATTTCCTTATTAGTTGTATAGCGCCGCCTAAGATATTGCAAGATCGCCTAACCATCTGTCTACTCGGTCTTATCATTCAATCGACTAGGCACTACACCTAACCATTAGGTTTTTGGAATAGCCTTGTTGTTTGATGTTGTTCAAATAAAAGCGTGATCTTTAGAGGATAGATTCAAAGTTTATTGAAATTCTAGTCTTGTAAGACCACTTTCTAAGCATCCTTTATCAGGCACTGCTCGGCACACACTTCCCTACTCGGGAATGCTTCCATCGAGCAAACCATGTTCTGCCTAGTCAAATTATGCTCGGGTTTTTATTCAATCTGCTCAGCCGGGGCAAGAAGTTTGTTTAGCCTAGCAGTGCTCTTGCTTGAATCCTCTTGCTCGATCATAGCCGAACCAAAACCTTCAAAGTCACGTGTATTCATTCCACATGCAATTGCATAAACACATTTCTACTTTTTCTCTTGCTAAACTCTCTTATATCTTATAACATTATTCTCTCTTATTTTTGGATTCTCGAAGTTCATGTCATTTTTGTATTATGAAAAGCCTTCCAATAATAATAGGTTAATCATGATCCATTATATCTTATGTATAATTTGCCTTATCAGCATTCATTGCACTAGTAATTCTTATTGGAAGGATGGCAAATTAATCTTGAAGATAGTGAATATTTGCGTTTCTTACATTTTGTAGTTCCTCATGTCTAACAAACTAGTCATCATTTTTCCTAGGTAACACCTTGTTCATCGTTGAGTTAGCAAGGTGTCATAGTATTGAACAAGCTTTATTGTCTTTTCAAGTTAGGTACAAGTAATACTAACTTATTCATAAATGTTCGTTTGAGAAAGAAAAATCAAATTGAATCTCTTTGTTAATGAATTAAGGCAATAGAAATAAAAAAGCTTAACTTGGTGTTACCGATCATACCACCTTATGTAACTACGCTACCATGCTTTGAGAATCTACTTATGGTACAGCCACAACCTGGATGTAACCGATAACAAATTGCTGAGCATGTTCCATTTTTCAAATCCATGTTTTAGTAGAGCTTATGGTTGATTGAAATGCTTGTTTATCACATTCAAAATATTTTTGGACTCTTTTATTCATTGTGTGAAAGTTCCACATCATTTGAGCTATAAAATTTGGTCTTAAAATCTAGTTACCCGTATTGAGTGTTTAGAACCATGCACTTATTGCTAAATAGACAATGATACATGTTGGAAGGTTGTGAAACAAAATATCCAACCAGTTCCAATGGCATCGGAATGCACCTTTGAACGAGGCAATATCACCATTGGGGAGGCACTCGAAGCCACAGCACTAACAGCAGGGCACAGGCCGGTGGATTTCAGTGATGCAGCGGCGATACAAGCGGCAGAAGTGAGAGCAACAGGACGGACCAACATTGTTCCCGGCGGTGTTGCTGCCGCCGCTCAGTCTGCGGCAACTCGCAATGCTAGGGCTGAACGGGACGATGAGAAAACCAAGTTGGGAGAAATCTTAACGGTAATAATCCATTCTCCATGTTTTGTGTACTTGTGATCTTATTAGGTTTAGTTTGAGAAGCACTGCTGTCTTTATTTTGACGTACATATAGAAACAACCGCCATATCCATCTTTATTTTTTCTTTTCTAGTTTTAGTATTTTAATAATATTATTTTTATTTAATTTGACATTTAATTTGGAGTCTAACATATTAACGAAAATTAGAATCAAGTATAATATGACAATCTATTTTGCCAATAGGACCATGTGCGAATTTATTGGGTCATTAAGGACATGTGACATGCACTTTTTGGTAAGTAGATCCATAAGACTTTTTTCTTTAATTCCTATATTGACCCCATACGGATGGGGAATACTCTCCTGCTATAAATACGTGCTTGTTCCATTGAAATTATCTTTCTTCTCTCTCTTCTGTCTTATTATCTCTCACACACACATATATATATATATACACACACATATACACAACCACAGTGGCAGTAACCAACACAGTGACAAAAACAGTTACATAACCATATTGACACAATGACGCAGCTATAGCGACACATCCACATTGGCACAACAACAATGGTTGTTATTGTTACAATAGAACATATTTTTCCAGTGACATTAATTGTTATTATCACACTAACACACATTTTCACTATGACAGTAGTTTTTATTGTCATAATAGAACATATTTTCACAGTAACATTAGTTGTTATTGTCATAGAACACTCATTTTCATAGTGACAATGGTTGTGACTGTCACAATAGAACATATTTTCACAGTGACATCAGTTGTTATTGTCACACTAACACATATAGTGACAATAACACAACTTTTATAGGAATACTTGGAGGCATGCCCATAGTTGTTACTGTCCCAATTACTGTATATACATATATAAAAATATGTGTGTGTGTATATATACATATCAATGTTTTATATATAGAATCTTTTGCTATAGTGTATATTTATATCTATATATACATATACATACATACGTGAGAGAGAGATCTTTTGGGAGAAAGAGAACGTAAGGCAGGAAGGAGATAGAGACTTTTTAGAATCTGAGTGAGATATTTTAGGATCTGTGAGAGGGAGAGAGAGTTTAAATGAGAGAAAGATTGCGTGAGATTTTAAGTGCGAGATAGATCTGCGTGTGGAAGAGAAATTTACGTGGAGAGAGAGAGAGAGATTTGTGAGAGAAAGAGAACATAAGACATAAGACATAAGACATAAGACGTGAGGGAGAGGGATTTTTTAGAAATCTGAGTGAAATATTTTAGGATCTGTGTGCGTGTGTGTGAGAGTGAGAGAGTGAGAGAGAGATTACATGAGATTTTTTAGGATATGGATGAACATTTTTATAATTTGTATTTATTTTAGGTTCTTTCTCATCTATTTGTCCTTAATGACCCAAAAAATACGTGCATGAACTAATTGACCAAAAAGATTGCTACATAGGACCGGCTTCCAAAATTCCAATGTATTATTACTATTAATTGGATTGTGAATGTATCTCATTAATAGGGAGCCAGCTTGGGCCATGACCCGCTCAAATTTTTAAAATTACACTTTATACCTTTGACTTAAGATTTTTCAAAAACTTCAAAATTGTGTTCTTGATTTCACTTGAACTGGTCCTCAATTTTTAAAATTATAATTTATATCCTTAAATCATGATCTTTATTTCACTTTACCTTATTGATTTAATAAATTGCATCATTAACCATTCAAAATTGACTAATGGACTATTTTTGTCCAAAATTTAACATTTTGAGCAAAATCGAATTTTATCAATTTGAACCGAACATCTCAAAATTAAATGAGTAGTTGTGCAATCTGTTGAAATAAATCATTAATAGGCTATAGTTTAGGAGGACAAAATATAATTTATCCAAACACCCTATATGTATAGGGTCCAAAGTGATATAGAATATATAGAATCGTTCAAAAATTTTACTTTGCATAAAGAGACTGAAATTTAGATGTACTCTAGTGATTATGTATTGATATTGAGCTGAAATTGTTGATATTTTTTAATTAATTGATTTAAAAAAAATTTTGCATCTAATTAATTTGAAAATTTCTAATTAATATTCTTGATTTTGTATTGTATAAAGTTTGTGACATTTTTTTTTATAGGATGCGACAACAAAGCTACCGGCAGATAAACCAGTGACCCGGCGAGATGCAGAGGGTGTGATAGGGGCAGAGCTGAGGAATGATCCAAACCTAAGCACACGTCCGGGAGGCGTAGCAGCCTCTGTGGCTGCAGCTGCTAGGCTCAACCTCCAGATTAACCAGACCAATGAGCAGAACAACTAACTATGTTTCGGGCCTTTGATAGTTCTTTGTTTTTAAGTCACTCTTTCACCTACTGTATGTGTAAACTTAATTGGTTGTTTGAACAGTTTTCTGATGCTCACCCAATAGCCACTCTGGATTTTTGCTTTTGGATTTATAATGTGAAGTTGAGAATGTTGTCAATTCATGCTTCTAAAAATCCGTCGTATGTATCAACCAATGGGATCAACGGTTACACAACATTATTTCGGTTCTAAATAATTTATGCTCATATCAGTTGTTACAGGTTAGTATCTTTGCGCTTGGGGCAATGACGCAGCTAGTGAGCTTCTAACTGAGGCGCGTCAATTGCTGGTTGAAAACTATTTCCAAACCCTCTCTTGGGCCTGGGTTCAGCCTAGGCCTAAGAGAATTTCTGGAAGGGCTCCCTTAGGGGTAAAGCCTTACCAAAAAAAAAAAAAACCAGGTTAGTAACACCCCTAACGGCACAAACTGAAAACCCAAGTGACTTATAATCACAAACCCAATTATTTTCAGTAGCAAATTTTTCAAATATTCCTCATTGCAGCACATTTTCTTCCCTTTAATCTCCAACTTTTCACTTCCCAAACTTCAAATCGAGTTCAAATCTTTTACTTTGGGCAGAGATGTTGAAGATTGCAAAACAAAACTTCAAATGAACCCGACAAGGAAGATGAAACGATGACTATTTTTTCCCTACAAATTCTTCTAGTTTTTCCGAAAGTTGAATTTTATCCCGATGGTGCAAGAAACAATGATTAAAAGGATTTTTAGTGCTGAATAATAGTGCGTGTGAATTGCTTATGTAATCAACCATAGAGTAAGAAAAAAAAACGGGTGTAAATGGTTCACCAAGCTAAATAGCTAGGTTAGTCTATTGTTAATAGAGTCTTTTGCTCTTGTGTTTGTTATATTACTTAGGGAAAAAAAAGATGGTGATTATAGAGGGTTGGATCCCCTTTCTAGGAGGGGTGTCTCTTATTTATACAAATATGGGCTTTTGTCCTTGTTCTGGATTATGTGGTCCTCTCAATCTGTTGGAATCATATGAGAAATATTTGGCCATTAAGGCAAATCTCAACAAATGTTCATGTGAAATTCTAGAAGTGTTGAATTACAAGCAGAAATACAGACAGCAGTGCCACATCGTGGGGTGGCATTCTTGGGCTAGTGGCTTGTTGCCCAAGGTAAGGTTGTCATGTTGAGATCTTCCGCTTCTCCTAGTAGCTAGAACAGAGTTGGTGTGATGGTAGCCGAGTTGCTCGGATATCGTCTGGCTATCTAGAGCTGGTGTGTTGGTGTTGGAAGGTCCAAGTCAGGTTAATTGCGCCTCAGCTGAAGTCGTAATGGTGAGCTATAACGACTTAATCCGAGGCATAATTTATGGTCAATTGAGCCTCAGCTCAATTAGTATGAAGCTTTAAGAAACGAAGTGCTTGAAATAGCTCAGGAACTCAAGGGACTAAACAACTTTCGTTGGCTGGTCAGTCTAAAAAGCTGAAGAACTTGCAGTAATTGATCAATCTTAGGGGATGGGGTTCTCTTCAAGGCTGAGAAGCCTTCTAGGTTGTACAGCTTATGATGGCTAAAAAGGAGATCTACTTTTTGCTGAGAAACAGATCTTTTGGGAGGTTAGTGCGTTGAGCAGTGCCCTCAATCTAAAAAAACAGGGGGTACTGAAAAGACGTGACTTTGACGGTTATGCTCTTACTGCACAGCCATGTAATCACGGAGCATAACATATGCTTAGATTCACAGATCATTTCAACCCCACGATGCCACATGTCTGGGGTTTTAGACGCATTTAATTTAATGCATGTCCATTGCATTAATTTTTTCCTAGGGAAGTGAACCGCCAAAATGAAAAGCTATTTAAATCCTCTCCTTTGCTATTTCCTTTACATTTTCTCACACTATTACCCGGTTTCAAACTTCTTGCTCTTCTTCATCTTTTTTTTTTTCCCTTAGGTAATTTTTAAGTCTATTGAGATAACGTCCATGGATAATGAGTAATTAAGATTATGCTCTCTATTTAGGGTAGGGTTCTTGAATTATATATCGAATATTTTATGAATGCAATTATTCTTGATAGTTCTTGAATGATTTATCATTTTTATTATTTAATTGGATGAATGATTTTTATTAAAGTACTTTACTCTATAAATTTATTTGATTAATTATTAACTAGATTAATTTTCGGGTATGATTAATTCTTATAATTTTGTGCAAGCCTACAATACTAGTTCTTAAATTCAAATTTTCTTTTCAATCAAATTGGTCTTTAAAGTTATATTTTTTAGTTAATTATACTGATGTTGAAAGTCAACTGAGAAAATAATATAGTTGCAGGAGTATGATATTTAAGATACATCAATGATAGATCCTGAACAAGTTGGGGACTGGGACCTCCATGCCTAGCCCTCAGAGCCAATCCTTTTCTTAAGGTTACAGATCTATTTTGCTGACTTTTCTTAACTACATTATTTCATCGACCAGAGGTTATTCACCTTGGAGACTTGATGCGATTATGAGTATAATCGGGGTATGGGAGGCACTTGGTCTTTCGGATTTTCAAGGGCTGCTGGGGCGCACCAGACACCACACGACATGTGGTGCTCTTCTAGTCGCTCAACCTACCTCCAACTGAGCCAATTCTAGGCTGAAGTAGAAATTGAAAGGGATTTTCCAAAAACTCCTCTCTGATACCTCCTAAAGTAAAATAGGCACGCACATGTCTATCAATGGAGTCATGGATGCTAGCCTCGTGTTATTTGAGGCTCAGATTTCTAGAAAGAGAGCCTTGCGTGGTCTTGAGGACCCGAGTTGGGCTGCTTTGATAGAGCCTAGTGACGTTACTGAGGCTTGAGTCGCAACTATCAGGGGACGCTATAGGTTCCCTATTGTGGTATTTGTTCACGTCTTTGCCTAGGATGTTCGTTGCAGTTTCTATCTTGCTCGGAGAGTCTGTTTCTTCAAGTCTGCATTCGAGATTGGCCTAAGGTTCCATTTGTAGCCATTCATTAGAGCCATTCTCCATTTTTTCAACCTTTGCCCTTTCAAGGTTTCAGTGGAGGGTGGGTCTTCTTATTTTCTGGCGTAAAAATGAGATAGGATCTTCCCCAACCATTTTCAAATTTCTTCATTTCTTTTGTGTGGTACCTTCGGCTTCTCTAGGTTTCTACTATTTTGCGAGGAGGGTTGGGGTGGCTAAGCTGGTCACTGACTTCTCTTCTCCTCCTGACGGTTGGAAATGTGGCTTGTTTTTTGTATATTGGTATAACTAGGAGTTCAATGGAGAGGTGGTTGAGTCCCTTCGAGTTCCACGGCGTTGGCAAGTTCCCACAAATTTGGGTGAGTTGATCTGTTCTGTGCCTCTCCCCTCTTTGTTCTTTTTTTTTACTCGGCTCTTTGATCTGACTTGCCTTCTTTGATATCCTAGATGAAAGAAATTTCTTGACCTCATTTGTGCTAGTTAAGTTAACTCGTGCAAGAGCTTATGGCGTGAGGTCTTTTAGGGACTTGGTTATAATCGAGAACCTTACTAAGTTCAAGCTTGGCCCTGGTCTTGTTATAAGGGAGGCCTCTTTTGGTGAGTGTTCCTCTTCTTTTTGTCTTGCTTAGCGTAACTTTTCTTTACTAAGTGAACCTTTTCTTTTGTTATTGAGGATATTTGAGGATGGCTCCTGACAAGGAAATCGTGATAAAGACACTGGTTGGCCAAAAGCGGGCCAGGGAAGCAAGCACTTCTATGCCCAAGAAATGGCCTCGGGAGTCGGCAGTGATGGCAAAATCGATGATTGACCCATAAGGTCAAGGAAGTGCTGCAACCTCTGATCCTCTTTCTACTCAAACAACGACTGAGGAGGTTACAACTACAAGGGCTTAAGGGGTCATTGAAAGGAACCATTCTAAAGAGGTCGAGGTTACTTCCTAGACAATGCCTAGGTTAGAGATGGAAACTCTCAGACCAGTTGGGTCTACTCTAAGCCCTTTTGCCCCAGCTCCCTAGGCCCCAAGTTTTCCAAACAACCCATTCTGGCTAGTCACCAACTCATAAGCATCGTCCCCCAGGCTGACATTAAGCAATCTTCTAAATTGAGTTATAGCGATAATGCGAGACACACCCTTCACTGCTTGGTGGCTGTATGACATCCTCTCATATTTTCTCTTTCCTCTCTTGTATGTTTCATTTTTTTTACTATTTACTTGGTCCTTTGAAGGCTACCACCATATCAACACCCTTGCTGCAAAGATACACCATACAAAAGGGCAATTTGGCTTAAACAAGACCAATCTTGCCTTAGCAAAAGGAAAAGGGAAGATCTTGCTAACTAGCTGGCGATTTCTACCTCCTCTAAGCTCTCACTGAAGGACCAACAGGCCTCAAAGGAGTTTGAGCATATTTGAGCTACAAAGGCAGTGGAGCAAGGTAACCTTGCGAAAGATAAGATGGTAGAGGAGAATGACTTGCTAAAATCTCAGTTGGCTGAGATTACCAACATGTTCTTCGACCTGGAGGTCGAGATGGACGCCAAGAAGAAAGAGGTGGAGGAGTTAAATGTAGATGTCGTCAATAGCTTTCTGGATGGGTTCCAAAACTTGCAAGAGCAAGCCTAGGCCACGTTCCCAAAGCTAGACTTTGAGATGTTTGAGCCAGTTTTTTTTGATGACAAAGTTGTTAGAGGTGCTATTGTAAAACCCGGGTAAATATAATTTTTTATGAAAAAGGGCAAAATGGTAATTTATCACTCTGGTACAGGTTGTAAATCTGAATTTTTCTAGAACTCAGATGACAAAACGAAACTCACCGTTGGATTCGTCTCGTAAAATATAACTATCCAGTCAAATTTTATCGAATTCTGAGATAATCGATTTTTTTGTATTTTACGAGGTGATCAAGTCTCGAGTAACTCAAAAACGAAATTATTAATAAAATTTTGAAAGTTAAAAAATAATTTAAGGTAAGTTAAAATAAAAATATTTTGAACTTAAATCGGGGTAAAATTTATTCGTTTCGGAGTGAAAACGTACCCGAAAAAAATAAGACGTGTGATGCATTGTGGGTCAAGTGTTTTAAGGGTATAAAAAGGGGGAAAATATCAAATTTCTCCCCATTCTTCAACCGTTCACCAATAGAAGAGAGAAAGAGAGAGAAATCTTCACTTCTATCTACAATCTACGACCCTACGGTACTCAAATTCACTCAGGCCAAGAAGGAAAGTTGTTCTCCTCGCCGAGGGCTACACAACCACACCAAAAACGACAAATTTTACCAAAGTTCCAAAAACGGGTTTGGAGAAATCAAGGGTTTTGAGCTAAATTGGGATTCTTGAAAGCTTCTACCAAGTGGTTTATGCTTCAAGAGATAGGGTTCCTTCCTACTAGGGTTTATTTTACAACCTAAGGTGTTAAATTGAAATGGGTAGGTTGATAGAGATATATATCACTTACCTATGTTTGTAAAATTGATGAAAATGAGTATATAAATGGTTTAAAATAAATTCCTAACTTGGAATTGAAATGTGGTAATTACTTGTAAAATTCCATGAAAATTGGTATTAGTGGGCATGCTATATGTTTAAATTATGCCTTGGTGAATGAAGTGTGTTATTGGCATATATTATGTGATAACATGCTTGTGAATGGTTGTTAGATATGAAATGTTGATGTATGTTTATTGATTTATTAACATTGTAATAAAGTTTGGTGATTATATGTATATGATATAATTGATTATGGAACACGTATATATGTGGTTAAATTTGCTCATATGACATTTATTACATATGGATATAACAATAATGCATTACATTGCATTTGAACGGAAGCATCATAACCATGGGTATGAAACATGGGTGTGGGTATGAGTGTGTGCATGGTCTAATCAAACATCATACTTGATGGTTGATGGGTGGGCTCAGAAAAGTTGGATTAAAAATTTAACTGAGTCGCACGGGTACATGAAAAACTTGTGTCAAATATAGCAAGTAGGGCTAGACTCTCCCTTGGGTGCAAGACCCGACTACTTGGTTCAGACACTCTCTTGAGGTGAAATTCTGGAAAAATGTCACGGTGTGCGAAATCGGTGGTGCGACTCTGAGAACTCCGCTACCCAACAAAGACACAAGGATTTTGTTTTATAAAATACCTGATTCATACAATTCCCTGAGGTGAAATTTCAGAAAAATGTACTTATTTTATAAAATAGTCATTTGATGTGTAACATCCAATAATGAATTAGTTTTGTAACCACATAATTTTATTTCAAAATGATCATTGGATGTAATTCATTAATGACGGATTTTTCATACATTGATATTGCATTGTGTGGAGGGAACAGGTGAAGACTCGGATTGAGTTGCATAAGTGAGTACCATCTCATATCATGACATAACATGTTAGATTCCAACATAGACTTACTTAAATCTTGGTTGGAATGACTATTGCTTGCTAAATGTTGCATGTGAGCATTGCATATACACTTAGGTTGGGGAGTAGCCTCTGTAAAAAATACTCTACTTGGCATGACTCACCCTATACGAAAAAATATTTCAGGTGCGGGGTTCTCACCGACAGAGGACTCTTATTTCGAGCCCCAAAGATGAAGAGGGCCGACTTGTGGCTTTTATAGCACATTTTGTGTAATTTTTGTGAAAATTATATTTGGGCATGTAATTTATGGAAATGAATGTAATAGAATGTGTATGGACCTTGTATTAAATGAAAATCTTCATTATACAAGTGTTAGATGGAGTCAATATGGTTTGGAATGAGTTGGAAATGCAAAACAGGTGAAACAGGCAAAAGTCGACAAATCATACCGGTAGGGCGTACCGGTATAACGAGGTCCAGTGGACAACTCATACCGGTACAACTTTGTCCAGAAGGAAAACCCTACCGGTAGGAGTTTTCTAGTAGGCTCAACCTACTGGTAGAACTTCAAAAAATTTGAAATTTTAAAATTGTTTTGCTATGCTTTTGGGGCATGTATCCTTCCTTCCAAATGATGTAAATGGACTATAATGGAGTATGAAATGTGGTACATTGGACCACGATTTGATTAAATGATAAAATGTACACAGGTTACATGTATGGGTGATGATCCCAGTTAAGGGGATGTTATTGACGTGATGTCGGGTTGTGCGACAATCACGGGTACTTTCACAGGTTGATGGGTGGTCAACGGTTGAAAAAAGACCCCCGTTTTTAAGGGCGTCACATCTGCTACTTAGGGGATGAGAGAAGTAGGATAAGTAGAGCTAATTCTACGCTATATTTTTTTTAAATGTTAGAACTTTGTAATCCATTCCTTTACTCTTTGAAATATAAATTCTCCATCTTTTCTCACCCTTTTCATTATTATTTGCCATGTTTCATTTCATTATGCTTGGGGCACGTAGCCCCATAATTACCTATTCCCCCTAACTTCTGGATGGTGTACAACCTTGTAGAAGTAAGGAGTTAGGATCTTGATTTGCCGAGGTCGAGAAGTCCCCACTTGGGGTGCTTTGCTTAGATCAAGGGTTTTTGGCTTACTTAGTGTATATTCTGTGCACCCCCTAGATTGTGTAGTCTAAACCTGTTTGTAACACTTTTTCGCTAACTTCAAGCAGAAAAGCTCAAGTCTTTCTGTAAGTGTTTATGCTTTGTGAGCTGATGGGCTAGAGTTTGATTCAACTGAGAAGCCTTTAGATTTAAAGAACTTGTTCTGACTGCGAAGCTGTTAGATATGAAGAGCTCGTTCTGGATGAGAAGTCTTTATTTTTCCCTTGAACTGAAAAATATTAGCGATTAAGTGGCCTTAAATTCGAATAAACATGTAAGTGCATAGGATACTTGTATTTCTAAATATTTCCTTGAATAAGGATTTCTTATAGTTCCAAGTGTTGGATTCCCCTTACAAGGGGCTTGGGCAGAAATCACAATGGGTAAAGTTGATGAACCTACCTGGCTATTGATAATATCTCCTAAGGTGCTTGGCATTCCATGAATGCGTTTCTTCAATCTGTAGTTCATAATTGCTAGGTATGACCACCCTTTTTACCACATAAGGTTCTTCTTAATTTGGGCTAACCTTCCCATGCCTTGGGTCTTTTCTTGCTAGCAACAATTTTTCAAGACTAGGTCTCCTACTTTGAAGCTCAACTTCTTAACCCTTTGATTGTAATATTGAGCTGGTTTTCATTGGTAGGTCTCGATCTTCTGTAGGGCCATATTCCTTCTCTTATTCAAGAGGTACAAATTGAGAAGCAGGGATTGGTCATTCTGCTTTGGATCGGACATCTCGATTCTTGGTGAACAAAGGCCGATCTTTGCTAGTGCTACAACCTCAGTTCCAAAAATCAAGCTCAATAGTATCTCATTAAGGGTTGTCTGAACTTTTGTTCTATATGTGCAAAGCACACTCGAGGAGGTGATCTATCCATTGGTTCTTTGACTCTTCTAACCTTGTCTTTAGAGCTTTCACTATAGTACTGATCTTGATCTCTACCTCCCCATTTGCTTGGGGATGAGCTGGGGCAGAATATAACGACTTAGCTAAGATGTAATTTATGTTATCATCAGATACAAACCGGAAAAATGAGAGAGATAGAGAAGGGGGAACTGAGATGAAGACGAGGGTTGAAATGTCGATTTTATTCCTCAAAACAAGAGCCTCTGGGTTTTTTTTAATTGGGTTAAACACAACCAATAGACCAATGACAATATCTAGACCTTTGTTTTGAGGCCACCATAGATGGATGCCACGTATGGGACTTGGCAGTGGCATTAACTTCCTTTCTTTACTCTTTTAAGCTCACTTTCAAGATGCAGGCCAATTAACTAGTAAAAAACTAAAAGATGCAGACCATTTGATACTTGTATGATGTATTGAAACTTAATCAATTTATTTGTTTTGAATAAGATTTTTAAAATGGGAAAGTATTTTCCAGATAATCAAGTATTTTAGACAAGAAAAGTCAATAAATTAATTTTTGAACAACAATTGGACATGGTGAGTGTTCTGGAAACCAAGATAAGGTCAGTCAATAATAATTTGATTCTAAATAGTGTATTTAGATGGTGGGAACACTTTGAGAACTATTCTTGCCATAATTTGGGAAAAATTTCGGTGGGTTTGGAATCCAATTACTTTGTTTGTTAGAAAAATTATTAAATCTGATCAAATAATTCATTGCCTAGTTTATCACATGGAAAGTAAGATGGGAATCTTGTTTCCTTTGTATATTCATTTAGTGATGAGCTACTGAGGAGATATCTAT